CTTTGCATTTCTGGAATCCACCCCTACTTGCTCGTGATGTCTTTTTCTTTTTATAATATTGTTGAATTAGATTCAGAGATTTTTCAAAGGACTTTTATATCCTTATACATTATAGATATTGATCTGTGGTGTTATGCTGTCTTTGTTTTAGTATCAGGGAAATACTGGCCTTATAAATTAGTTAGATTAATTTTCTAAATTAATTTGATTTTTTTTTTTTTTTTTGAGTTGGAGTCTCACTCTGTCGCCTAGACTGGAGTGCAGTGCCCACTCCCGGCCACCGCAGCCTCAACCTGCTGGGCTCTGGCGATCCTTCCGCCTCAGCCTTCTAAGTAGCCGGAATTATAGGGCATGCGCTACCACGCCCGGCTGATTTTTTGATTTATTGTAGAGATGAGGTCTTGCCAAGTTGTCCAGGCGGGTCTCGAACCCGCAGGCTCAGGCAATCTACTCACCTCAGCCTCCCAAAGGTGCAGGATTACAGGTCTAATTTGATTTTTTAAAAGATTGTATAGAATTGATATCACCCTCTGTAGTTTGAAAGATTTTGCCAGTAAATGTGTGTGTGTATGTATATATATACACACATTTTCTTTAATAGTCATAGATCTACACAGGCTATCTGTTTTGTATTTCGTGAGTTTCAAGAATTTGTGGCTTTTGAGGCATCTCATATAAGTTGTCAAATTTGTGTGCATAGCATCATTCATATTATTGTTGCCTTATTTACTCATAGTATCTGAGATGTCTGTAATGATATTGCTGTTTGCATTCCTGATATGTGTTTTGACTTGTACCTTGTATCTTTTTCGCTATTGGAAATTTTGCTAGATATTTGGCACTTGACAAAGAACCTGTTTTTGGTTGCATTGATTCTCATTAGTGTGTGTGTGTGTGTGTTTATTTTCAGTTTTGTTTAATTTCTGCTCTTTATTATTTTCTTCTTTCCACTTGTTCCGTTTATTTTGCTCCAGTGACTGATTTGACAACTTTGTTTTAATATAAGCATTTCATACCAAGTTCTTTGTCTACCCTCTGCTTTAGTTACATTCCACAAATTCTAGTATTTTTCTTTAAATCGAAATATTCAAATTTTGGTATTTTTCTTTAATTCAAAATATTGAGACTTTCTTTTTTGACCCAGGAATGATTTAGAAATTGGTTGTTTACATTTCAGATATAAGGAGATTATCCTTCAGTATTGATTTCTAGTTAAATTTCCTTATGTTCAGAGAGCATACTTTGATGTTTTCTATTTATTTAATTTTTGTGGTTTGTTTGTTTATGAGTTGGGTTTTATCCCGTTGCCCAGGCTGGAGGACAGTGGCATGATCACAGCTCTCTGGCAGCCTCGACTTTTTGAGCTCAGGTGATCATTTCTGCCTCAGCGTCCTCAGTACCTGAAACCACAGGTGTGCACCACCACACCTGGCTGATTTTTTTGTAGAGATGAGGTCTCGCTATGTTACCTAAGCCCGTCTCGAACTTCTGAGCTCAAGCAGTCCTTTTACCTTGGCCTCCTAAAGTGCTGGGATTGTAGGTGTGAGCCTTCAATATTTTTTAAAAATTGGGCTTCTTACCTCAGTATGTTTGTGTCGTTCACCAAATTTGGAGTGTGTGTGTGTTCATCCATTATTTCTTCCAATATGTTTTTTGCCTCACACTCATCCTTTTGTGACCTCAATGACGTGAATGTTAGTTCTTGTGTTATTATCTCCATAGGTTCCTGAGCAGATTCTGTCTATTTTTTTTAAGCCAATTTTTTTTTCATTGGTTAGACTGGTTAATTTCTGTTGATCTACCTTGAAGTTTACTGTGTCATCTGGAGTGCTGGCATTTAGGCCATCTAGTACATTTTAAATTCTTGGTTATTGAATCTTTTCAGCTTTTAAATGTCTGTTTTTTTCTACGTCATATATTCTGTTGCTGAGACTTTCTATTTTCTTTCAAGAGTTCATCCTTTTTGGAAAATTTTTGCAACAGCTTTATTAAAATCTCTTCTAGTTATAACTTCTCTGTCATTTTGGCACTAGTATATGTTGGTTGTCTTTTTCTGTGTGAGTTGACATTTTTGCCTTAGTTTTATTTTTTTTGTTGAGTTGGAGTCTCCCTCTGTTGCCCAGACTGGAGTGCAGTGGCCACTCCCGGCCACCGCAGCCTCGACCTGCTGGGCTCCGGTGATCCTTCCGCCTCAGCCTTCCAAGTAGCCAGAATTACAGGCATGCGCTATCACGCCCGGCTGATTTTTTGATTTATTGTAGAGATGAGGTCTCGCTGCCCAGGTGGGTCTCGAACCCTCCGGCTCAGGCAATCTACTCACCTCAGCCTCCCAAAGGCGCGGGATTACAGGCTGAGCCACCGAGCCCGGCTGCCTTAGTTTTTATACTGAGTAACTTTTGAGTTTGTCTTAGATATATGAACATTGTGTTATAAGATTCATGGTCTTTAAATTCTATGGAAAATATTGATTTTTTTTTTTTTTTAAGCAGGCAAACAGTCTATTTGAATTCAGGCTACAAGTTCTGATAGCTGCCTTTCAATGTCAGTTCTGTTTTCCAAAGTCTTTGGCATGCTCTCCCAATCTCTTCTGAGTGTACACCTTCCAAAGGCTGGGCAGGGTTCTTTGTTTATTTTTCAAGGTCTCTGGTATGCTATTTGGCATCAGATCCAAGCAAGGTCTGCTAGGGATTAACCCAGGAATCCATATAGCTTTATGGAGTTTTACTGAGTTCCCTGGTATTTTCTGTTTGAACTCCCATTTTTTTCCTTTACCCTGAAAGCTGTTGTTTTTTTTCCTGTTCTGGTGCACATTTCCCACAACTGAATTTACATCTAATACAAAACAGTATGTGCTTGTGTTATTTCTGATTCCTTGGAGTTCCTACTTTGTAGTTGGCAGGAAGATATTTGGAAATAAGTAAAATTTTACAGTTCCTCTTTTATCACATATACTTGTATGTAGGACTGGCCATGTTTTTATGTGTCAAGGCATTAATAGCAAAGATTAAGTTATTACTGAGATGAATCTTGTCCTTCCCTCCCTCCCTCCTTCACCTCCCCCTTCTCCCTTTCCATGGTGTTCTGAGAACATTGCTGTTCTTTAGGATATTGCCTTCCCTCTTAGGCCAAAGTTTTGTATTTTTTTTGACTCACAGTTTCACTTTGTTGCCCAGACTGGAGTTCTGTGGCATGCTCATGGCCTCTGCAGCCTGGACCTGCTGTGCTCAGGCAGTCATTTCGCCTCAGCCTTCCATGTCGCTGGAACCACAGGCACGTACCACCACACCCAGCTAATTTTTTTGATTTATTGTAGAGATGAGATCTCACCAAGTTGCTTAGGTTGGTTTCAAACCCTTGGGCTTAGGCAGTCCTCTTGCCTCGGCCTCCCAAAGTTCTGGGATTACAGGTGTGAACCACCGCGCCTGGCGGCCAAAGTCTTTATGTTAATATGATATCACCAGTAAAAATGTGGGAAAACTGGAAATTTGACTTACATGTAGTCTTCAATGTCAGCATTACCTGTTAAAACTTTTCTAAATAAACATTTCTGGACCCTACTCCTAGAGATTCTGAATCAGTTGATATGCAGTGCAATAAAGAAGAAAATAACCTAAATGCTCATCTGTACTATAATAGCACTCCTATTTCAATGGAGGACATTATCTGTGATCTGGGAGATTCAATACGTATGTGTCTGAGGAAGATGGTAATGTTAGAGCTCCTTGAAGATTGCTGACTCAGTAGGTGTCTTCAGGTATCTAGGTACCATTAGAACAAACAAGGTGTTTGAACCACAAGTGTGCTGCCTTGGTAAGGGACTCAGTCCCTCACCATCATCCAGTTATATTCTTCACTGGCTCATCTTTCTTGAGGCTGTCTGTCTGAATATTGAGCATGTGATTTCTTTTTCCTAAAGCAGTTCAGCAAGGGGTGGAACTTAATAGTATTATTTTCTTTTTCTTGTTTAAGGACAAAATCTTTACTTATTTCAACATTTTCTGAGGCATAACATATCAATAAGGCGCTTAAGGTATACCAATCTTAAGTGTACAGCCTGAATTACATATATATATATATATGTTTCTGTAACCACCGTAGTTAAGACATAGAACATTTCCAGCTTCCTAGTAGGTTCCTTAATGTTCCTTAACAGTCAGTTACCCTCTTCCCTTGAGCCTACTAGTATTCTGATTTCTAACACCATAGATTTGTTTCACCTGTTCTCGGACTTCATATAAATGGAGTCATGCAATATGTATTATCATGTATATAGTATTTTTAATTAAATGATTTTTGTGGTCAAGTCTTGTTGAGTTTTTATTCTTATTGTTTCTAACTTCTTCTCAAAGCACATTTAAACCAAAGTAGATTCTGTTGATTTTTAGTTTTCATTTTTTTAGGTGAGATAATCTTAAAATTCTTTTTTTTTTTTGAGTTGGAGTCTCACTCTATTGCCAAGACTGGAGTGCAGCGGCATGCTTCCAGCCACCGCAGCCTCGACCTGCTGGGCTCCGGCGATCCTTCCACCTCAACCTTCCAAGTAGCCGGAA